AAAAAAAAAAAAAAAAAAGGCGACATGACTTGCACCTGTTCTCTCAGTCTCTTGGAATACTCATGCCTTGAACTCAGACATTAGGCTGTGAGAAAGCCCAAATTAGCAGATGTGGAAAGACCACATGAGGAGGACCACATGGAGAAGGACTGTAGCCCACTGTGCCCTGTCCAACTTCCTGACCATGAACACCATAAATGCTCACTGCATGTCACAGGTTTTACAGTAATTTGTTATAGAGCCATCAGTAACAAAACAGTCCTCAAGTAATTTACAACTCAGAGGGAAAGATATATAGGATTCAAGTAATTAATATAGAGCAGGATGTGCTAATCACTACACAGAATATAAACTAAGGGCCTTGGGAGAGGAATATAAAGATGCTCAACGTCACTAATAATTAAGGAAATGCAAATCAAATCACAATTTTAAAAAACCACCTCATATCTATTAGGATAGTTTTTATAAGACAGGTTTACAAGATGAAGTCACATCCGTGAACTCATTGATGCTAGGTGGCAATGGGACCATTTCCCTTATTTTACAGGTGAGAGATGGAAGTTCAGAGAGTTCAAATGGTTTGTATATCCCACAGCTTCTAAGTGATGGAACTGGATGTAGTCCTCAGATCCCCTGGTCCAGACCTTCTCCTACTCTTCCTAGCTCCATCCTACTCCCCTGCTTTAAAAAAAAGAAAGAAAAAAAAGACAGCCTGCATCCTACCAAGTGGAAGGACAAAAGGCCTTGAGCAGCCAACCCAAACCAGTGCTTGCCCCCAGCTGGCAGGGCACAACCTCCCGACATGCTCTCGTTGCTCCTCTGAGATCCTGATCCCATTAGCAGCACAGAATGGCTTCTCCCCCAAGAACCCCCACTGGAGTGCCCTCCAGCCTGCCTGCGTCAACACACATGAGTGAGTGTGAAGAGGTTGGAAGAGGCAATTGACACTATCGGAGTCTAAAAGCTTCAGAANAGAACTTTGAAGAAAAGCAATCACAACAAGAAAAAGGTAGGTGTGGTAGAACTTGGTGGCAAAGTAACATATCATGGATCTCCTTAGAGACAAAAATTCAACTTACTTTCTACATAATCTTCAATCAATCCTGAAACAGTATCAAACTATTTGAAGGACACCATAGGAAATGTTACTCTAAAAAGAAACAAGATAGAGTTCTAGAGATTGACTTTAATCACATGAAACTATTAAATTTCTTGCTGGTTACTCTCCATGCAACTCTGATCCTAAGAAATTAAAGTTACTTTATCAGTGCTTCCTTTGATGTATTGGCCAAGGAAAAACCCAGTATTTTGCTTGTTCATTTTTCCAGACCCTGTATCAGCTTAATGATAGCAATTCTCCATGGTTAGCATCCCTTTGAGTTCTAGAGGTGATTTACAGGGAGGCATTTATCTTGAACCAAAATGAAAAGAGCCGGCAGTGCCTAATGACAGCCATAAAGCTGAATAAATTCAAACTGCTTTAATTGCTGAAATTTACCCCCAGTTTCCCTGATAAGGGCATGAAGACTATTTCTACAGGCATTAGGCTGACAACCTGGGAAATAATCATTACCTACCAAACCAGAGCAAAGCATTTTGCTCTTTAAGCTGCTCTGTAGAAACAGCAGCCTGAACGTAGTCCTGTTGAGCTGCCTGCTCAGCAATGACTAACTCGTCGGTCTGTTTAAGAGACCCACCTTCAATGTGGGATCCCTTCCACTAAATCAGACTTCCTCTTAAAGTGTTCAGGTACGCAGTCCTTCAAAACCCCAAAACTTTAGAATTTACATTCTCCTCACCTCATAAAACTTTTTTAAGGAGCCCACGAGGCACAGCTTCAGGCTATCCACAATCTCTTGATGAGGCATCTGGAATACTACTCGAGAATACCATTTTGTGAGGGTGCTGGGATGGAGGCAGTAGAGAGAGAGAAGAGAAGGATGGATGCACTCACAGAGGAAGGCCCACGGTCTGAATGTCAGCACACACAGGCTTCTCTAGGCACCAACCCAACAACAAGTAGTAAATGCATTTATGTTACATGTGAAAACACAAAGTGATGTAGGGAAAAGATACACACACACACATACACGCCACATACAGAATATAAAAATATAGGCATAACTGTGGATATTTGCTACAAAACTGCTTCCAGTTGAAAAAACTGGATAATGAGAGACCCACCAACAGAGGACTAGTTAAATAAATAGTGTTGTGGCATACAATCACTCCATACAACAGTTAGAGAACTGGTTGAGATTTATTTCTATTGGTGGGAAACTGTCCAAAATATAATTTAAGTACAAAAATGAAGCTGAGGAACAGTTGTACTATGCCATTTGTATATACATATATACAGCACCTGTGTGTGTTAGTATATGCACACAAGAGAATCTGAAAGTATATATGCATTACACCTTAGGGAGTGGTTAATAGATGAACCATGAAAAACTCACTTTCTAAATTTCTGCAGATATCTGCATGAGCATGCCTTATTTTTACAATTTCTGCAGATATTTGCATGAGCATACCTTATTTTTACAATCAGAAAAAATAAACAAAAAAACCCTTCATTTCTGGGGTGAAAAAATAAATCACTGATAAGAGACAGTTCCCATTCTGAAGGAAACGGCACTATAGCCAGGAAACAAACTTACACCTCTGCAAGTGTGGTAAATACACTGTGTAAACTAATACCACAGGAAGACAGAGGAGGAAGGCCTTGAGTATACTTTTATGTGTTAAGTAAAAGTAAGTACACTTTTACTATAATATGAAATACTCAAAAAGTATTTTCTGTATTTATAATAAGATTAGGTATCAAAATGTAGCCAAACAAAACGGCAGGATAAGGAGTGCTTACAGGTTGATGCTTGCCACGAAGCCAACCACGGAGCGCATGCCTTTACCGGGGTCATGGTAAACATCCATCCCAATTACCATTAACTGTTTCTGTTAGAAAACAAAAAACAAATTAAAAAAACCCAAATCAATCCATCATCCCATCTTTAATTATTATCTGAACCCCAAAGCAACATATAAAAATAAGTTCTGGTAAAGGAAGAGAAAGATTGGAACCAACTCGACTATACGAAGTCAAGATCTAGATCAGGGGTCAGCAAGCTTTTTCTGTAAAGGACTAACAAGTACATAAATGGCTTTGTGAGCCACATGGTCTGTGTAGAACTATTCCGTTCTGCCATCACAGCACGAAAGAAGACATGGATAGTACGTTCCAATAAAACTATATTTAAGGACACTGGAAACTGAACTTCACATAATTTTCACGTGTCAGAAAATGTTACCCTCACTTTTTTTTCACCATTAAAAAATGCAAAAACCTTTCTTAGTTCATAGGCTATACAAAAACAGGCAATGAGCCATCTAGATTACTAAGCACTGAAAGTAGGGCTAGCTCTATGAGGAAAACAGCTAGACAGGATTCTCTGGAGAGATGAATTGAATGAAGACATAACTCAGCATTGGAGCATTACTCACCAGAGGAATATCCACTCCCCAGAGCTCACCACCCAATTTACAGTTAATTTGAAGTAAAATTTTCTGGGCCACACTCCGAAGCTTGGTGGGTTGACCAATGGTTCGGACATTGATGACCTATAAGGAAGGGTTCAAACAAGGTATGAGGAAAGAGAGCACCAGTGACCCCTCAGGCAATGTAAGCAACTCAGAGTATATCCTACCTTTGTTTAAGAAACTCCAGCTAGTAGTTAATGCACTTTGCATTAATAATTCTAGGGTTTCTAGGCAGACACATGTGCACATACAAACCAAAATAAAAAAACAACACACACTTTTAAAAGATCTCATGCAGAGTAAAAATTTTTTTCAATTTCTATAGGAAAACAGCTTTTCCCTTTTAAAATCCTCACTCAAGGACATGTTTTACTGATTTTAGAGAGGGGAAGGGGGGGAGAGAGACACATCAATGGGTTGCCTCCCGTAGTGGCCCCCACTGGGGATGGAACCCACAACCTAGGTATGTGCCCAGACCGGAAATTGAACTGACAACCTTTTGGTGCACGGAAAGATGCTCCAACCCATTGAGCCACACCAGCCAGGGTTGCTTTCCTCTCTTCGAGTGAAGCCTACACTCTCAGAACCCAGTTATATGAAACCACCTGGAGACTCACCCTCTGAACAAACAAAAGTACTCATTTTGGAACATGAAGGCTGCATTTATGAAGAGCATCTGCTATTCTCCAGGTTATTCTGATAAGGGGAAGGCTTTGTAGGAAGGTGTTCACATGTTACCTTCTAATCGCTACTTTTGACTTTTTGCACACACGTGTGGATCCCTCTTTTCCAAGCCTCAAGGAGGCTTTTCCCTCTGTGCCTCCAGCCCAGCTCCCACTCACCTGCGAAGGCACTGGAGCCTGCACACAACACAGCTTTTTAATGGCACCATAGAGATCGTCACGTGTGCCCATGATGATGCACACAACCATCTGTATCTTCCCCTTGAGGAGATAAAAGTATATGTAAGTCCAGCTTGGGAATTCTAACAAGGCTCCAGTTAGAGGCAGTTTGAGACACCTTTAAGGTAGAAAGGGGACTGAAACAAAGATGGTGGGCATTCTAACACAGAAAAGGGTCCTTGATCCCAAATGTTGGGCCCAGTGCTTCTTTGCATAGATACATAATATGTTACCAAAAATTATCAAGAGCTGACTACCTCATTTATTTATTAGGAGACAAGATGCCTGGATAAGGACCAGACAAATATATGCAAGGTTTACTTCTTATTTGTTGCTTTCAATTCTCTGTTATGTTTTTACCACTCTCTTTAGTAAACTAAGCACCTTATTACATTCATACCACAGAACTTTAACTGAGGATACATGGAATGCAATACCACAAGAAACAATTCGGGGCCAAATGCAGATGGAAATGAAGCTACTGCCAAATCCTTAAGTAGTTCTCTCCCCCTCTCTCCCTCTCTCTGGTTAGGAGAGAGAATGATACTGCCAGCAGCACCTCTCATATCAGCACCCTCTACCCCTCAATGCTTTAGAGATCCAGTATTAAAAACAGAATCTTTCAAAGTCTGAATAAAGAAAAGTAGCACTCAGGGGAAATAAAGTTGCCAACCCTTTATAGCAGAAACAGCTATAAATGGTGAAACAATAGTATTCTTTCTAAATCAAGATTAGTGTTAGATTAAGACTTCTCACAGAACATTCCAGCAATCACATCAAAGAACTTCCAAAGTCATATAGAACACAGGCTGCACACGGGGAACCTATGGGCTAGATCTAGCAAACAGATGTGGTTTTTCAATCCCTACAATGATTTGCTACTTGTTATATTATTAACATTTAAACACAGGGAGATGCACACATATGCAAATCTAGATTTCTGGCTTCTACTGAAAACAAACAAATTAAAAATCAATTTGACAATGCTGGGCTTTTATCTAATCATGGGGTTTACTCTTTTTAGTTCATTATAGTTCCCTCCTGGCTCACTCATCTGTGTTACTCATCTGGCTCCAGTAGACATCTGAGTTTGTGACCCTTAACAAAGAGAATAAAAAAAATGCCATAAAGATTACAGAGAAACAGCAAGACCAATAAGAGTTAAATCTGGTAAACATTATGAATGAAACTCATCCATGTTGCATGAAAGCTGTTGGCAATACACTCTCAGGAAAAGAACACGAGAAGTTGTGAAATGAGGGCGTTGATGCACTAAACTGGGTGTTTTTTTTGAAAGCAGAGCAGACTTTATCAATGATCAGGCCCAGGGGGAGGCCATAGCAAGTATAGTAGGCATGGGAGTCAGGAGGAAATTAAAAAGAGAAAGAGAACATGAGTGTGCTGCTATTGATGAATATATTCAGAGTGGTGGGTCAAAAAAAGCTATGATGCCAAGATAATCTAACTTTAGTATTGATCCCACAAGAAATGATCAAGGACTAATTACTTCCAAAAACTTTCCTCGACTTTTGTTTCCTCCTTAATCTTCTTCCAGTTTCATGTACATACAAATAAGAACTACAGGCCTGAACCACTGAGATGTGAGGACTATGACCTGCTCAGCTCCAGTGATCCTGATCGACTATCAGCACAAAGCTGATGGGCCACCTGCCAAGTTCATCACTAGAGCAATTTGAATCTAGAGCCAGACCGGGCTGGAACAGCTCAGTACTGAATCGTGCAAGATGGCACCTAGCCCAAGAAACTGCTTTCTGAGCACGACATGTTCTATATAGATAACAAACTAAAGTTAAGTCAGCTATTCTGAGTCAATTACGTGATGAACAGAACACCAGAGTGAGAGTGCCAACATAGAATGAGAGAAGCAAAATTAACTGAAGGACATAAAGGCTATTTTCTTTCTTTCTTTTTCTTTTTTTAAAGAGAGAAGAAGGGAGAGGGGGAGAGAGAGAGAGAAACATCGATGTGAGAGCAAAACATGGATCAGCTGCCTCCTGCACGCCCCCTACCAGGGATTGAGCCCTCAACCCGGGCATGCATCCTGACTGGCAACCGAACCAGCAACCTTCTCGTGCATGGGATGATGCCCAGCCAACTGAGCCACACCAGCCAGGGAAAGGCTATTTTCTTAGTTCAGTATTTCATGTGCAGATGAGTAAGACACAGGTTTCTGAACAGCATCAACAGCTGACAGATAACCAAGGTTATTTAAAATCAAGTATTTAATGTATTTTAGAACAGGCATCCTACAAATCTACTCAAATTAAATGAATTTATTACCTCAGCTCTCAGCATGGACTGAATGGTTCTGACATAGGTTTCTATTCGATCATCCTTTAGTTCAACCCAGGCCGGAGGGCTCATGCGCATGCCAATAGGACCAGCCACCTTCTCTAACATGTTAACCAGTTCTTGGGCCTGGTCCATTGCTCTCTTTGGGTAAAAGAGTGCCCAGAAATGCATGGGGACCTAGGAACAACCACAAGCTATTTTTAGTACTTCTCATAACTTGAACACTCCAGACTCACACCCAGAGATGTTATTAGAAAATAACTTGCTTTTTATTCTCTCAGCGTAAGTCCTACCTTATCTACTTACTATTACTAAGAGATGTGTATGATAAGTAAACTGGGGCATGGAATACTATACAGCAATGAGAACGGAGCTCTACAACCATACCTAACAATACAGGTAAAACTTACTAATACAAGACTGAAGAAATAAAGCTGGACATACAAGAACGTTTACTGTATGATGTTGAATACAAAAACAGTTGAAACAAATCTATGCTGTGAGAAATCAGGGTAATGGCTATTCTTGGGGTGTGTAAGGGTGAGAGGTAGGTAGTAACTAGGAGCATGGATGGGTGCTTCTGGGGTGCTGGTAAAGTTGTGTTTCTTAACCCTTGGTGTGGATCATACAGGTCCATTTAACTTGTGAAAATTCATCAAGCTATACACTTGAAAATGCAGATATTTTTCATATTTCAATGAAAAGTTTTAGAAACAGATGTGTGTACTTTATGTATGGCTATAAAGGCCAGGTTAGCTGAAAACATTTAAAAATAATTATATACCATTTTGTTCTTTGGTTCTCTTGGTAGGAAACTGTTTTAATTTTGCTTGTTTCACAAATAAAAATATCTCCCAGGAACCCCCAGGAAAAAGAGGGGGAAAAAGAATGGAAGAGTGGGTGGTAGGCTGGCACCATATGCAATTTATTTTCTTTTCCTAAGTCTATGGTCAAACAAAGAGCTTACCTCTAACAACTCGTCACTTTACTCTTTGAAGGACCCTGTTTAGTAGATAATTAAGGATGGGAATTTAGTTGAAACTCTCTCTCAAAAATAAGACACTAAACCATTCCTCCTTCCTAATTTCCACCATTTCAGAAATACTAGTCTTCTCTTTAACACCTTGAAAACCACTTACAGTCAAGATGGAAAGGTCTCTGGTTATTTCCTTAATCCAGTTTACTTCCTGAGATGTGATAAATGAAGTATTTCTTAAGTTAATTCTTTCCATTGGCAGAACACGTCCTTCAATCTAAACAGAAAAGAAAGTACCTATGACATGAGCCATCTGCAAACACTGTTTAGAAAAACAATGACATTGTTCTCTCTGGACCTGGTCAGCTCCACAACATAGACTCGCCTCCGTTATAACTGCTGAGAATGGCAGAAAAATGAAACTGCTAGCACTGGGAGTCCATGTCAATAAAACCCTGCACATATGCAGGTAAAATTTTTATAGGCACTGCTCTTTAATTATTGAAGCTTCCAAAGTGGTCTCCCAAGAAAGGGATTAGAAAACATTGTCTTTTAGAAGCAGAGACTGCATGTAAAACAACCATAATTTCAAGGTGAACAGGAACATAATCTTTAAATATATTTTAAGGGAAAAATTGAAAGTAGAAAATTAAAGGTAAAGTTTCTTAATAATGCTGAACATAAACTACTATTCTACTTTACACAAAGAAAAAGCTGGAAGGAAAAGGCATAAACATAATGAAAGAAAAAATTAAAGTTAAGAATAATGAATCAGTTAGATCTAAATATCCCAAAATAGGAAGATAACTAGATTGATGATATATCAGTATGACAGACTATTTTGCAATCTTTAAAATCACTACATGTACTATAATCCCATTTCTGCAAAAAAAAAAAAATAGCAAGGTATGATGCACCATAGAAAACTGAATGAGTCCCCACTCAGTGGTGATTATCTCTGGGGAAGTGTAATTATGGAGGATTTTTACTTTCTATGACCTCTACTGTTTGCTTTTTTTAAAAAAAGAACATATTTTATAATCAAAAAAATTTTAATGGTTTTCTTAATATTATAAAAGTCTATGTAACACAATGAATAACAATACACCTATTAGCAAGAGTGTTGAGAATCAGACTCATCTTATGCTTATGAGAGTAGTTTGGAATGGAAAACTGAAAATGAGGCCAAATTTAAGTCAATATTCCTCTACTACCTAACTGACTGAAAATTCACAGCTGAGATCCCTGGGAAATACAGAAGAAGAATCTGTAAGAGCTAGTAGGCAAATTAAATCCAGGAAATTCAAGTATTATGACTAGGACCACAAAGAAGTAAAATAATAAAGCAAGAATTCCAAAATAAAGACAAGATAGGAAGTTATCACTTAGTCTCACAAAGCTCTGAAACCGCTGGTTTCCTACCCCATCATCTTCTGGGTTACCTTATGTACATCCTTCTGCAGACAGAGTCCCCAACGTGTTAGTTCATTGCTGGCTGTCTCATTCTTTGAAATTCTCTGTATCAAACATTCCAAAGCATTATGGTGCTGTTTAGGGCTCAGGTTGATCTGCTGGGTCAAATCCTAAATAGAATTTGAATGGAGATAATTAGTTGTATTACTTTCTCCAATATGAGGTTAAATAAACCCTAATGAGTCTTAAATGTTTCCATAAGAAACCTCCTTCATATTGAAATCTGTAGAAATTTTCAAATATCTTCAAGGACTTAAATAATCTCTCTCAGGAATGTTAATAATCATAAAAGAATTCTTATTTTTAATCTTTTTTTTCTTCTTCTTAATCTTAAATGTTGTTGCTCTCTCCCTCATGGCATCTGAGTCTTATCTCTTTTTCAAAGCTATGTTTGCTTTTTAAAAATATTTTCATTGCCTGGCCGGGCGTGGCTCAGTGGTTGAGAGTCGACCTAGGATCCAGGCAATCGGGGTTCAGTTCCCAGTTGGGGCACATGCCCGGGTTGCGTGCTGCAATCAATGACTCTCTCATCATTGATGTTTCTATCTCTCTCTCTCCCTCTCCCTTCCTCTCTCTGAAATCAATAAAGATATATTTAAAAAATAAATAAATAAGTAAATAAATAAATAAAAATATTTTCATTGATTTCAAAGAGAAGAAGGGAGAGGGAGAGAGACAGAAACATCAATGATGACAGAGAGTCATTGATCGGCTGCCTCCTGCACACCCCCTACTGGGGATCAAGCCCACAACCCAGACATGTGCCCTGACCAGGAATTGAACCAGCAACCTCCTGGTTCAAGGGTCAACACTCAAGTACTGAGCTACAACATCCTTCTGAATCACATAAGCGAGTTCTTTATTTATTCTGGGACTGATAAATTATACAGCTCTTGTTCCCTGGGAGGCAGTCAGGGTAAGGAAGTGTATGGAACTATATAGATATTTCTGTGATCATAAAGTCATTAGGCGGCTGGGAGTTGTAAGGGAGGACCTTGACCCACATATTAAAATGACAAGTATCAGAAAGTAAACACGAAAGAAACTCTTACATGAATTTTAAGTGTCACTTCAGGCTCTTTATGATGTTACTAAAAATAGTATGTGGCATCCCAGTCAAACATGGTCCAAGGATAAGCTAGACATTGATTGGCAAAGTGAGGAAGAAGAGTATCTCAAGTGTGGAAAGCCCTAGGAGTCACAGAGTGACAGAGTGTGGAGGTGACACACTCAGCATCTGGACTCGTTTTTCTCCTAGCTATTTCCTACAGAAACTTAGCCTAAAAAAATTCCAGGTCACTCCCAGGCCCCACAAGATAAACTTCTATCCTTTTACCTCATCCTCTGACTTGCTGACTTTTTCCTACATTATCTCCTCCATCCCTTCAAATAAACTGAAGGCTTATAGCAATGTTTTTAAAAATGCAGTGCTCTCAAAGAATCTCATTTATGATCAGATGACCAGTTTACAGTCATCTATCCGCTCAGTAAGGGTGAATTATTTGTTTCCTTTTACCTTACTCTCCTCTCTACTGTTCTAACCACTTTCAAAAGGAAGCTCCAAATGGTTTTTTCAGTGTGTGGGAAGGAACATGGATCATATTTTATGGAGAGGAAAATTGAAGCTTGGAAGAATAGACTTGCCCAGGTAAAGATGCAAGCCTAGCACGGTTCTAGCTCAATTTGCTCTTGAAAAAGTCTCCCACTCAAAGCAGGCATTTCTTACCTTCATGGCCCTGAAGTCCTTCTTCATCTTCTCAGGGATCCCAGTCATGAAGGAAAGCTCAGGCAGCAGCAGGATTTCACCTTTTAGAAGCTTTGAATAAAGAACCAAGAGGGAAAAATAAGGCAGGAAAAGAGGATCCTGTTCCCCTGCCCTATACAGGACATGCCATGCCATGCCCAGTGCTGGCCCTGCAGGGCTATCACTGGCAAAGTAAGGAATATAAAACTCCAAAGGGCAGTGAAACACTACAAGTACTTTACCCTTTTACCTTCAGTCACAATACTCACAGCTGTTGTAGTAGGTAAAGGGAAAAATATTGAAACTGTAAAGGAGAGGAAGAACTAGAAAAAAAATTGTCCCTCTTGAACCTCCAGACAAGCCAAGACAATACATCCTATCAAGCTGGTACCTCCACCTTATCTTCGCCTGTCAATCTTCACCATTCACACTTAAGACAGAAGAGTCAGGTGTCAAGACACTGCTCTGGCCACAGCCCTCTTAAAATGTCTAAAACTTCCCTAATGAATCCAGGGTTTTAATCATCTTTAGCAGCAAATTCTCCTGATTCCTTCATCTAACTTGCTCATGTGAATATTTAGCTCTTCATTATGGAGATCTCAAAAGCAAATCCTATGTAGGTGGCACCTCTGGCGAGAAGACACACACAAAACTCTGCAACAGCTTTCTGCAACCACACTATAATCATGTTCACTACTCCTCGGCTCCCAGGGCAGTGAAGAAGGCTAAGAGTGGCTGATGAACACCCCCACTCACCATCCCTTGGTTATTCTGTCTCTCACTGGGCCTGTGGATCAGCAGTGGCTGGTCCTCTTCCTTAATTGTGATCCCATAGTTTTTGCTACAGTAGGATAGAGGCAGGAAAAAATTTCAGAAGCAGCATCACTACTCTTATAGCAACATAGTCTGATTCTCTTAACCAGCACTGAGGTACAAATCTGCATAAGACCCTTGTAAAGGGTCCACTGGAAACTCATCATAGCATATTTGCAAAAAGCAGGTTCAAATTACTGTTACAATTAAATAGAGACGAAACAGGCTAATGGTCAAGGAAAGAATTTGTTTAGAACTACATCAGGCTAACGGACTTAGGCAGCTAGAAAGGCAAAATGGTAGTTGAATGATTAATGACTTTCATTTAATCTCTCCAACCAGACTTCTAACCAAACCAGCAAAGGAAATACAATTCAAAGGCCTGAGATTAATTTATGAAGTTAACTTCCAAAAGTACTAAAAGGAATGAAACTGTAAGGGGTGGCATAGTCAGGTCGAATCTCACAAAGGAGTTAACTACCAAGCCAATTATTTTAAAAGTGTCCTGTTGTATGCCACTAAGGAACTCAATATCCTGTACCGAATGGCAGACTATGCTCACCCCCTGCCAAGCCCAGTCTCTTCTACCTGTAGTATTCCAAGAACGTGATCTCCTTCCCATCAGACATCGTGAAGCTATCTTTTGGAGTCTTATTCCAATCTACATCATCAATACGATAGGTACGGTTGTTGTATCGGGTTATGACAATATTGCCAACCAGAAGCTTAGTACACTCATCCTGGAAGTTTTCTTTGTTCTGCTGATACATGGCATGCCTTTGGAAACATACAAAAGACATTTGGATCACATTTGTATACACAGAGCAATATGAAAGGGATTGGTGAGGCAAATAAGGACTTTAGTGGTACACTCACAACTACATAGCACCAAAAGGCTCCAATTATCTCTCTTAAATAGAGAGTTTTTTTCTCTCTCTCCTTTGGATTGGATACCCTCTGCTGACTTATCTTTATGTTCGTGATTATTTACTTTTGCCATTTTCAAATGTGCTGGTGAGCTCATCTTACCAGTTTTTCATTTTGGTTATTTTACTTTCAAATTCTACAATTTCTACATATTTTGTTTTGCTTTGCTTTTTAGTTTCTATTACTTTACTGAGATTCCATATTTGTTGACTCATCATCACATTTTCCTTTAGTTATTTGAACTTATTTATAATTGCTGCTTTGAATTCTTTGTGTGTGAAGTCCAGTATCTGAGCGCTTCAAGGTAAGTTTCTACTGACTTTTTGCATGATTATTGGTCACACTTTCCCATTTCTTTGTATATCTAATAGTTTGTAATTGAAAACTAAACATTTCAGATAATACATTGTAGCAAGTCTAGATTTTGTTTTATTTTTCTGTTGGTGGGGATGTAAAATGGTATAGCCACTTTGGAAAACAGGTAGTTGAAGCTACAATATGATCCAGCAATTCCACTTGTAGGTACCTACACAAGAGAAATAAAACATATGTCCACAGAAAAACTTGTACATAAATGTTCACAGCAGCATTATTTGTAATGGCACAAAGGTGAAAACACCACCAATGATCAATTAATAAATAGGTAAAACAAAGTAAGATATAACCACTCAATGGGATATTATCCAGTCATTAAAAAGGAATGAAGTACTGATACATGCTACAATGTGGATGAACCTTGAAAACATGCCAAGTGAAAGATTATTATACTTACATTATACAATTACATTTATATTAAATGTTCCAAAAAGGCCAACATATAGATATAGAAAGCGTATTAGTTATTACCTAGGTCTGGGGAAGGATGAAGAAATTGGGAAGTGATGGCTAAGGGATGCAGAAGTTCTTTTTGAGGTCATGAAAATGTTCTAAAATTGATCGTAGTGATGAATGTACAGCTCTGTAAGTATACTGAACCACACTTAAGATGAGTGACTTATACAGCATGTGAATTATATCTAAATAAAGCTGAAAGTTAAAAAGGAGAATCGCACATATTTATTATCTTACAGTTTCTGAGGGTCAGGAATTCAGGTGTGGCTTAGTTGGGTGCCTCTGGCCCAGGGTCTTTCATAAGGCTGCAAGCAAGTTGTCTGCCAGGGCTGCAGACATCTCAAGGCTCAATTGAAGAGTAATCTGGTTCTAAGCTCACTCAGTGAGCTGCTCCAGAACATAGCAGCTGGCTTCCCCCAGGGTGAGTGACCCAAGAGACAGTAATAGAGAACACTTAAGACAGAAGCCATAATCTTTTTATAATCGCACCTAAGAAGTGACATTCACTAACACCAAAAGAAAAGGCAATAAAAGCAAAAATAAACAAGTGGGATTACATCAAACTAAAAAGCTTCTGCACAGCAGAGGAAACAGCCAACAAAATAAAAAGGCACCCTACTGAATGGGAGTAAATATTTGCAAATCATATAGCTGATAAGGGGTTTATATCCAAAATATATAAAGAACTCATACAACTCAACAGCAAAAATACAAACAATCCAACTGAAAAATGGGCAAAGCATCTGAATGGACATTTTCCCAAAGACGAAATACAGATGGCCCACAGGTATATAAAGAGGTGTTCAACATCCTTAGTCATCAGGGAAATGCAAATCAAAACCACAGTGAGATATCACTGACACCTCTTAAAATGGCTACTATCAAAATGACAAAAAATAAGTCTTATCAAGTATGTGGAGAAAAGGGAACCCTTGTGCACAGTTGGTGGGAATGTAAACTGGTGTAGCCACTATGGAAAACAATATAGAAGTTCCTCAAAAAATTAAAAACAGAACTATCATATGATCCAGCAATTCTACTTCTTGGCATTTATCTGAAGAAAATGAAAACAGTAACTCAAAAAGACATAAGATATATGCAACTCTATGTCACTGCAGCATATTTATAACAGCCAAGACATGGAATCAACCTAAGTGTTCTTTGACAGATAAATGGATAAAGATGATGTGATACACACACGCATATATATAATATTTATAGATAAAATATTTTTCAGCTATAAAAAAAGGAATCCTGCCATCTGTGACAATATAGATGAACCTTGAGGACATTATGCTAAATGAAATAAATCAGACAGAGAAAGGTAAATACTACATAATCTCACTTATATGTAGAATTTGCAAAAAGAAAAAAACAGCACTTATAGACACAGAGAACACATTGCTGGTTGCCAGAGGCAGGCAAAATGGGTGAAAATGATCAGAAGGTACAAACTTCCAGTTATAAATAAGTCCTGGGGATATAATGTACAGCATGGTGACTATAATTAATAATACTGTATAGTATATTTTAATGTTGCAAAAAGAGTAGGTATTACAAGTTCTAACAAAAACTTTTTTTATGACAAGAAAAAACCATGTGTGGTGAAGTTAACCAGACTTATTGTACTGATCATTTTCCATATATATACACACACACACACACACACATATGTGTGTATATGTACATATATATGTATGTATATATATATGTATATGAAATCATTACTTTGTATATCTCAAACTAATATATGTTGATAATATCTCAATTTTCTTTATTAAAAAAAGTGACATTCCATCACTTCTGCCATATTTTATTCATTAGAAACAAGTCACTATAGGTTCAGCCCATACTCAAGAGGAGAGGATTACAGAAGGGCCAAGCAGTATAAATACTGGGAAACCACATCTAGACACACTATAGTAAAATTTCTGAAAACTGAACAAGACAAAAAAAAAGGACATAATACTTAAAAAAAACCACCCACTAGCCCAGCTGGCCATGGCTCAGCTGTTGAGCATCAACATATATATGATCCAGGAGATTGTAGTTTGATTCCCAGTCAGGGAACATGCCCGGGTTTTGGGCTCGATCCCCAGTAGGGGGCGTGCAGGAGGCAGCCAATCAGTGACTCTCTCATCATTGATGTCTCTCTCTCCTCCTCTCTCTGAAATCAATATATATTAGAAAACAAACAAACAAACCCAGTAATACTGGTAGTTGATTTGTCAATAGAAATACTGTATGCCAGAAGATAATGGGATATTTTCAAGTGCTTAAAGAAAATAACTGCCAAACCCAGAATTCTCAGTTTAAGGCAAGATATAAAACACATTTTATTTTTTTTTATTTTGTTCTCTTAAAAATATACCTTTATTGATTTCAGAGAGAGGAAAGGAGAGGGAGAGAGAGATAGAAACATCAATGATGAGACAGTCATTGATCGGCTGCCTCCTGCACGCCCCCGACTGGGGATCGAGCCCGCAACCTGGGCATGTGCCCTGACCAGGAATCAAACCCTGATCGCCTGGATCCTAGGTCAACGCTCAACCGCTGAGCCACGCCGGCCGGGCTCACATTTTTATTTTTAAATAAACAAAAACTGAGAGAATATGTCACCAGCAGATTCCACACTAAAGGAAACACTACAGGGGGTTCTTCAGGCAAAGGAAAAGTAATCAGATTCCTAAGAGATGTGGAAGAAATGAAAAATATATAAAATTTCAGAAGACTGGAGTAAAGAGACACTCCCAAAGCTTCCAAGAGGATGTGGGGGAAGGAATGTATGAAGATTCTGGCATCAGAAATCAGAATGGCTTTATATCCCTTTCAGCAGCAAATTAGCAAGCAAAACAACAATGGAGCAAAATTGCAATGGCATTTTTGGGGAACTCAACAAAAAGATTCTAAAATTAATCTGGAAAATAAATGTGAAAATAGTTACAGAAAAGATAAAGGAAGATAATAAAAATATGAGTAGGGAGGAAGAACCTGTATTACCAGTACTAAAATACATTACTAACCCATACTAATAATTTTTTGAAAGTGAATACCTATACAACATTTAACAGATAAAGTTGGGGGGAAAATATGGAAAAAAAGAAGGGATGAGACAATGTCAAAAGCAAGTTTTGGGCTTGCTCAAAAAGTAAAATAAGCTTAAAAAGACAGAATAATGCTGTAGAAGATGGTTGTTTACTCATCTACAGGATGAAGTAGAAAAATCCAGACATAAGGTGCATTCAACTAGAGCATTACAATGAGAATAACCAAAGAGTTAGATTTAAATAAGGAAACAGTTTCACTGTGAAATATGTAAATGTAAATAAAGATTATTTTTTTAAAAGGGCAATGGAAAAATGCTTTAAAATTCTGAGGGAAAATTATCTCCAACCTAGAATTTTATGCCCAAGCAAACTAAGGTAAAATAAAGACATTTCAAACATGTAAGATCTCTTAAACATCTGCAAATCTACCCTTCCCCAGAAAAACAGTGGAAGCTACACTCTACACAAGACGAGAGAGTAAACCAAGAAAATAGCCATGGATCCAAACTACAGATTTGGTGTACGAGGGGAAAGGACTCACTACAATAAAGAGGAGCCCTGCCCTGGTCAGGTGCTCAGCTGGTGGGAGCATCGTCCCATACTCCAAAAGGTGGGGTTCGATTACCAGTCAGGGCACATACCTAGATTACGGGTTCGATCCCTGGTGGGGTATGTACAAGAGGCAACCTATTGATGTTTCTCTCTCACATCAATGTCTCTTTCTTTTCTCTCTCCCTCCTTCCTCTCTCTCTAAAATTAATAAAACATATCCTCAGGTGAGGATAAAAATAAAATAAAATATGAGGAACCCCAAGAGAATGGTTGTCCAACCAGCCTGGAGAGCAACCAGTCCAAATTAAAGCCAATCAGGTTTTAACAGAGATTCACAGATTTCAAAGACAATACTGAATTTTATAGGGATGGGTCATTAAATGCATTAATAACAACATACAAAACTTAACCTTATTTGGCAAGCCTTAGTTCCTCACTATCCTCTGAACCATTCCTGGGTCATTCATGATAAAGATAAAAGCTGCTGCAGGCCTAAGGACTGGACGTTTCTGACCTCCAGGAAAATAATCACTCCTTTGTGGTTTCCAGTGGTTTATAAGAACATAAAGGGCACAGGGGAAGAGAGGTGGCAGAACCCCAAGTCTGTAACAGTTGCAAGGGCACAAGGGAGGCCTAGGACACCAGAGCTCCACACCAGACAGTGTGGTCAGCACTCTGTGCCCAAGTGCTTGGGCTCTGGAGCTGGAGTAAGGACCAGGATCACAAACACCCTGGAGTTCGTGTGTGTGACATAATGGGTTGGTACCTGACACAGGACTTCTTACTATCTTGGAGAATGGGTGCTCAAAGCTGTATCTAATTTTATTTAGACAATCCAAGAAATATAATTTGGGGTGGGGGAGTGAAGGAAGATAAAATTGACAAGATACATAGCATTGGAATATAGAGTGAGGAAAATTTGGAAGTTGAATTAGTGGTAAGCATACATATACTTATGTACTTAGAAAGTGAAAAAACAATTTTCATATCCAAGATAAACAATTATGCAGAAAACAAAAATAATCATAGTATATACTACATAGCTCACCTATGAATAGTTTTTGCGTAGTCACAATAAAATATGACTAAAAGTTTTACAGAAGTAAAACTTAAGTTAAAAAGTATAACCAATTTCAATAAATGGAAACACATGCCACATATGTGAATAGGAAGACTCACTGAACATTCTCCCTAGTCAGTGCCAATCAAAATGCCAACTGACTTTTAACCACTGGATCAAAATGAAGTTTTCAGAAATAATTCCAAGTACTTCAAAAAATGATAAAGGTAGTGATTTAAATCTAAAGAAAAATATTTTTCAATAAATTGTCTAATAATACCAAGACAATAATGATGATCCCAACATCGCACCAAGATAAATTCCAGAAGGTTAACATCGGAAAACATTAAAACATAAAATAAGTAGACCTTTCTAAGCAGGAAAGTGAAGGCAGAAAACATAAAGACAGACATAGTGATTTTAAAGACTTCTATTTTTATTTAGTATTCTTGAACATCTACTACATGCTAGGAATAAACTAGGGTTGGGTGTACCATGTGAGAGAAAGAGATGCAGGCCCTGTCGATCAAGCAGAGATAGAATGAAGCATTATAAATTCACCCAAAAATGTTTGAGCCATCCTCAAACTCTCTCTCACACCCCACATCAGTCAGGAAATTGCCTGAGCGCTACTTTCAAAATATATCCAGAAGCCAACCGCTTCTCAGCACCTCCACTGCTGCTTCCCTCATTCCCCCACTGGATTACAACAGCCTCCTGGTTGGTCTCCCCACTTCTTCCCCATCCTACTAGTTTATTCCCCTTATGCTCAAGTCACAGCATGTCACTGCCTGGCTACAAGGCCTGCATTTCAGTCCGGATAAAAGCTACAACCCTTACGCTAGCCTTTCAGAGCCCTCTGTCCTCTCCCCCATCTGCTCCATCCTCCCACTACTTTGACCTCGCTCGCTCCGGTTAGGCCACCTTGGCTTCCCTTCCTCTTCTGGAGTGAGCCAGGCATTCTTCTGTTTTAAGGCCTTTACCCCAGCTGTCCCTCTGGCAAATTCCCTTCACCCAAATATTCACCTGGCTAACTCTCTCACCTCCTGCAAGAGTTGGCTCAAATGAGCTTCCGTGACCACTCTAAAAATTACAGCTCTCCATCCCTCCCCAGCCAGCCTCTAGTACTGTTCACCTCTCCCACCCTGTGTCATACCTGTTCTTTCTTCCATAGCTCTCATCACTTCTAGTGTACTACACAATTTACTTATGTTTATTACTTATCTGATATAATAATATATAATAAATATAATTAATATAATATAAAATATAATATAATAAGTTATTTATGTAAGCTCCATGAGGAAAGGGATCGTTCTTTGTTTTGTTAACTGGTATGTCCCAAGACTCTGGTACACGACTGAAGTTGAGTAAAGGAATGAACAAATTTACCGGATAAGCAAAGATTATAAACCTAGTAACACCCAGTAGTTGTACATAGCTGGTGGGAAAATAAACTGAATAAATAAACTTCTAGAGAGTCAATATATACTTAAATATCTTGTTATATTAAATATTTATTTAAAATCTTTAAAATGTTTAGCATTTCCATTAAATAATTCCATTTCTAAGTACAAAGCCTAAAAAATGAATCACAGATGCACTTCATGTAGCCATTACAAATTATACACATCGATACTTACTACAGTAAATATTTGATATAGTAACACATTTAAACAAAAACGTAGGGTGTTTCTGTTTAAACCAAGTCTTCTTAACCAGAGACTTAAACACAATTCCCCCTCTATCTTGGCAGGACGTATGGAAATGGAGCACTTCCATTCAGCATTCTTCATCTGTTCTACAATTTAAAAGTCAAACAGAACATTTGCTATTATGTATTTATTACCAGCTATTACTGAACTTTTCAGAAAACTGTTAGCATGTTAAAGATAGATCCCACCATTCACTCACATGACATCCAGCACAGAATCATTGCGAATGACCTTATGGGAGACATCAGCTAGCAGGAAGAGACCACCATCTGTCCTCCGGATGCTAGCTGCATAGCCTGGCCAGATCTGCAATCTGAAGAGAAAGGCGGGCTTTACCTTACGGTTTTAAAATAAGCACAGACACTTCCATGCCCCCGTCTGAAATTTGGCGCAGATACTGTCCTTCCCCAGCAACGAAAAAGCACCAGGAAACAAATTCAATTAAATCAACATCATTGTAAACTTATTAAAATACTAAACTATGGAAGAGATTTAACTGATAAATTGTATTCACTATCATAACATACTGATGAGATTTTTGTCCTAAATATGGTGATTTCAATGCAAAATTTCTTTCCAGAATATTTACAAGTGAGGAAGAGGAAACCACCACCAACCTGTGTTGCTGCAGTACCATAGCACTCGTCGGGTCATAGAAGTTTCTCCCCACAAGCTTCATATCTAAAAGTTTCATTACCCTGAAAAGAAGAGCAAGAATGGGTTTTCTAGTAGAAGAATCCAAGAAATTAAGCCCAATTACTTTTAGCTACATTTCCTTTGGCAGCCTAAAGGGTCAGAAACGTTGGTGCCCTTTGCACAACATAGCTTTTATCGTGAAAACACTCTTGACAAAAGAATGAGAAAAATTACCATGGCATTTATCTTGGGGTGTATGTAACTGACTACAGCTTTTCCTATTTACCAGGTAACCAAAAACTGAGTTGATTTCCCAGGTTCAATTTATATTACTTTCATTATTAACTAAAAAGTGTGCAAGAGACTCAGTTTCTAAATTTGTGAATATCAGTCTAGCAAAGAAAGTTATGTTTGTTCCTGGCAGTTCAGCTTACTAGAGAGAAATTATATTCTGTTTCATTAAAAAAGAGGTGGTTAGGGAATAACATTATTAGTCTAAAAGAAAGTTTAAAAATTATGAGCTATCTGTATCCCAAAATTCAATGAAATGGGGAAAAAATTGTTCCAGCAAAAATTTTTACCCACAATCTCTCCAAGTAGCCCCATCACTAATACCATTAAATATGCACTTTAAACACCTGTTTTTAAAGTTCCTGAACTCATCCCTTATCCAACTAACTCAAACCTACTTTCACATACCCAAATCTGGTAAATCACTTAAGATAACTTCTGAGTAACTTAGCCTCAGTATCATCCATTTATTTGTTAAATGTTCCCAAACTCATCTATACACCCACTGTAGTGTAGCACCATCTAAGCTTCTTGAAGAGTATCATTCCAAATACAAGACTTGAGGGTAAGGAAAATAAGACATCAGCTGTTTTCTCACCGACGGAAAACAACATTGTAGAAGGGGATGCACAAGTCAGAACAGGGCTCCAGGGTCTTGGTCAACTGAATCTTAATGCTGATCTCGGCACCATCAGTCTTCCTTTGACTTTTTAACTCAAGAACCTAACAAATAAATATATGCAAGTAAAAAGAAATGACAAAATTATCAAGCCCTAACCTAATCCAACTGTGTCCCAGAAAACACTCAAATATCTTAAATATGTTTTCTATTTTCCAATCTCACTTTGCTGCCCACTGGAGAAAATCACAGCGTGACTACCAGAATTTAAGACTGGATTTGGTGAGAGAAACCCAATGGAGAACTAGCAAAAGATCCCTTTGAATTTGAAATCTTAAACCATCCTTTGCCACTGAAGTCAAAGGCTTCCTCCAACTACTCCTCTCATGGAAGAAGAGGCTCCTTGAAGAATACAAATGTAAAAGTTTCTCACTTTGTCATTTCTTTGTTATGGAGAAGTCTAACTTCTCCCTAAGAATAGGAAAGGGCAACTCAAATGTTCAGGAAGTTTATGACTTCCTACCACTCAAAGCACCACTCTTAAAGTCTCACTTGTTGAAGCTTAACAGGCAGATAGAGAATAGATCCATCAAAAGCAGTGACATTTCCGGTGACAGCTTGATGGTCCTTCAACATACCAAACTTCATGCTTTTGCATTCCACATTGGGGCTAGAAAATAATAAAGAGGATTTTATTTCAATTTGACTCAAATAGCTGTTCAATAGGTTTGTTAAAGAAGTAGTCTCTTGTAACTACTGCTCCATCTAGTGGTCATATTAAGAATTCAAATACTGCTAGGCTGGCATGCTCAGCAGTTGAGCGAAGACCTGTGATCCAGGAGATCTCAGTTCGATTCCCAGCCTGGGTTTTAGGTTCAATCCCCAGTTGAGGACATGCAGGAGGCAGCCGTTTCAGTCATTGATGTTTCTATCTCTCTCTCCTTCTCCCTTCCTACCTCTGAAATCAATAAAGATATATTTTAAAAAAAAAAATCTAAAAAATAACAAGACAAGCCTTAAAAAAAAAAAATTCAAATACTTTATCTAAAACAGAACTTTGACCCAAGGATACTTGCTCACAAAAAATAAAAACGCATAATTCCATCCCGAAAATACAAGTGCTTTAGTATGTCAGTATATATTCTTCCAGAGTTTAGACCACAGAGTCAGAAAAGTTTTTCTATAAAGAGCCAGGCAGTGAATATTTTAGGCTTTACCAGCCATATGGCTCTGCTGCAAATACTCAACTCTGCCAACATAGCACAAAAGCACCACAGACAATATGTAAACCAGTAAGTATAGCTACGTTCCAGTAAAACTTTATTATGGGATTTTACTCTAACCTTTTTTCACTCGTGAAAATTTCAATTTTTTACTGATTAATTACCACGAATCTTACAGTTATGAAAAACTCTAGTAGCTCCTTTGTACTATGACTGCCCCATTACATCACAATAATACAAAACCTTGTTCTACAATGAAAAGTTTAAACAAATCCAAGGCTTACAAGGGTCAAGCACGTTCAAGTACATGAATAAAGATTAAAAAAACCCACAAGTGGTAATCCACAATATTGTTGACCCCAAAACCAAACATTCACGTTTACATTTTAAAATGCTTCGTAAAAATTTCATATACATGCATTTATATGAACACAATATTTAAAGATGTCTTTCTACGCCCAGCCAGCATGGCTCAGTGGTTGAGCATCAATCTATGATCCAAGAGATTGCAGTTCGATTCCCGGTCAAGACACATGCCAGGGTTTCGGTCTCGATCCCCAGTAAGGGGCATGCAGGAGGCAGCTGATCAATGACTCTCATCCTTGATGTTTCTCTCTCTCTCTCTCTCTTCCTTCCTCTCTCTGAAATCAATAAAGATATATAAAAAATAAAAAATAAAGATGCCTTTCTAGACTCCCTTCCTGTTGTTCAAGGAAGCTACAATATGACCAGTCCACTGTAACAAGTCCTCTCAGTATTCCCTGTGGCCTGGCATCCTCTTCACACTGTAGCTTCAAAGATCCAGATCTATGATCTCTGAATTTAAAGAATCCACGTCTTCTCCTGGTCAACGCAGAGACCTGTGAAGATGCTTACACTCTTTTCTGTTTCACTAACATCTGTCAATCCATTTCCAGATAAAGGGTTCTTCCCTCTTGTTAATGCTCAGCTCCTTCCCTTACATTCCAGAAGAGGCCCATTCCCATTCCCTTCCACTCTCCAAGGTTCAGTTTCATCCCTTTCCAGATACTTCTCTTCAGCTGTCACATGTGCTCAGCTCCACTTTCTTACCTCACAGAAACCTTTAAAGCAATCCTGCTACCCTCTTTAATCATCATTCCAGTTCTCATTCCCCTTACGCACTTTTTAAATAATAGCCAATTCACTGGCTATTCCTATGCTCTGTTTTTTTAGTCTAGCTTTTTCTTTGTAACGTTAACAAAGTACTAGAAAATCACCCAGGGTGCTCTTAGAAGCCAATTCAATAACTTTTTTTCCTGTGGTCAAAGTCAACCACCTCCTCTCCGTTAAAATGGGCCCTTTCTTGGTCTTTATAACCTGTCTTCTGGGTATTTTTCCCTAACTTCCTTTCTTCTCTTTCACTCCACTTCTTCCTCTTATACCAATTAGTAGTTGTCCTTCAAAAATCAAGTCTTCCATCTTCCTAGTTTCTCCATAGATATTCCAAAACACTCATCCCAGCTAATAATCTCCAGCTAATGACTCTCCTGAAATTTTAAGAGAGAACACAAACTAATATGAATTCTTAATTTTAAAAAAGTACGATCAGCCCTAGCCAGTTTGGCTCAGTGGTTGCACAGCATCAGCCGGTGGACTAACGGGTTGAAGGTTCAATTCCGATCCAGGGCATGCACCTCAGTTGCAGGCTTGATCCCAAGCCCCAGTCAGGGCTTGTGCGAGAGGCAACCAATCGGTGTGCCTCACATCGATGTTTCTCTCTCTCTCTGTCTCTCCTCCTCCCTTCCTCTCTATAAAATCAATGGAAAAAATATCCTTGGGGGAGTTTAACAAAGAAAATGAAAAAGTATAATCAGTCCTAAAGTTACTGATATAACATTCAAGTTATATTCTCTGATTTTCTCACCCTCAAATTTAACCCTAGATTGTCACCGGAGAACCATCAAATATTGATATGAGACTCATATAGGGAGGATCCAGGTTTTATGGAATGTGCGTCTTATACCATTGGGGAAGAGGGACTCTGTTTAAGATGAGGAATACAAAATTACAGATACAAAATAAGTTAAAAAGTCATGGAAGGGGGTTTATGTAAGTACTAGGCCCTGAACTTAAGCTTTGTTTACTTCACAGTAAATCACCTCTAATCTCATGCATAAAACTGCACCTATTAGGTTAAAATCAGAATTGGTAATATAAATAAATAAAATGTTAACCTTAAACTTACTATGAGGATCTACATACATGCATTACTGTTGGGGTGGGGGAGTTCACCAGAAATTATGCAAAAAAATATCCAGCTATTCCAAGGGAATGATTTCATTACTTCTAAGAAGTGAACAATACAGAGAAAAAAGGCTGTGAATACCTGAAAGTCACATGATATTGATAAACTGCTTCATTATGACACTGTATTTTGATAAGGTTCAGTCCCAAAGGTTGAGGTATTCCTTTTGATCCTTGCTTCACAAAAAACTCTCTGGAAAATAAAAAACAAAAGCACCCAAACATACCAAAAATAAAAAAACCAAACAACGCACACCACACATATATGAAAATAAGATAGGGGAAAGTAGTATTTTACACTTTGCTTACAGATACACAAAGCAAGAATTGAGACATACAAAAGCAAGCTTTGAAGACTAGTAGATAAATAAATAGTAATCTCTGATTAAGGAAGCAAGGTCATCCTATTTGTCATAGTAATATCACTGGGATAAGTTAGGCCAGCTAACTAGGAACACAAGAATGAATTCTATTTAAAAAAATGAATTGCTGTAGTATTTTTCCTAAATGATTTCCTTATCTTCAACATGACAAAGAACTGTCTATGTCTGAATTGGGAAGGAAAGGGAAAGCCATGAGTCCACTCTCCAGTACATACTATCTCTATATCATTAATCCTATTTCACTTCATCAGGAATTGTCCCAACTCTTTGTGATTCTCCCCAAGAGCAAAAAAACCAAAATGAACAACCGTGAAATACCTACCACCCATGGAGAACTTCAGACACAACAGAAACAATGTTTATAATACTATGAGAAGGCTCCCTCTCACATCACTACCAAGCAGAGAAGGCTGAGCTCCTGACTTACTTTTCCTTGTGTTCTGCAGTCCCCAGTGAAAGGCGATCCAGAGAGTGTAGTGAGGATGGGGGAAGAGGTGGCGGTGATGGCTGCTGGGCAGGACCCCGAGAAGGCATGCTGATAGCACCGGGAGCCTTGTATATACCTCTGCCTACACCACCAGTTGCTCTTCCTAATGGTAATATAGGTACATCCAAATTCCCTCTTCCAAGCATTCTGAAATGTTGAAAAGAGGTAAATCAGGACTTTTCTTTTTTCTTTTTAAATTTATTATTCAAAATATTACAGATGTCCCTTTTCCCCATTGACCCCCATCCCACCCCAGGCCTTTCTTAATCATAATTCTATCTCTACCCTGTCTAAATGATTCCCCCAAGTCTATGTTCTCTTGCTCTCTTCCTGGAGGAGTCAGCAAGAGAAACATAAGCCTTGGGGTTCTCTCAAAGTCCAATACGCCAATATGACTCACTCACCAACTGCTACTAATATTGACTCTCTAGGCCAACTTTCATGGCAGAATTGAGGTGGGAGTTTGACTCCCTTAGATTAAAGAACCACTACAATCAGGTTAACTTCTTATGAGGGCAAATGAAGCTGTGAACTGCCCAGTGGAGAACTACTTTTTCACCCTTTTCCAATAACTAATTGGATCAGTAGCTGCTCACTACTTTTGGAAAGTATCCATTATTTAATATAAAACCATTCATTGTGAGATACTATAACCTTTTTAGAGTTGCCCTTTGGACTTATAAAGACACTTCATCTGAATTTGACAGCTCCCTAAGAAGGGAGCTTTACTCACCTATTCCAACCAACTGAAGCCTCTGCCATCTTGCTATCACCAGCTGCCAACACTGACGGATCCAGAAAAGTGGGATGGGATTCTTCTTTTCCCTTGTGTACCATACTGATAGACAAGCCTCGACCTAAAATGCCTCTACCTGAATGGAAGGATCAAACCCCAGCTATAACTGAGAGTTGAACATGTTGTAAAGTATAGTTATTTTTCTGAATATCAATTGTATGAATTTTAGAATAAAGCAATTAGCCTGGCCAGCGTGGCTCAGCAGTTAAGCATCGAACTATGATCCAGGAGATCGAGGTTCGATTCCCGGTCAGGGAACATGCCTGTGTTGTGGGTTTGATCCCCAGTAGGGGGCGTACAGGAGGCAGCCTATTAATGATTCTCTCATCATTGATGTTTTTATCTCTCTCTCCCCCTTCTTCTCTCTGAAATCAATAAAGATATATATATATGTGTATATATATATATATACATATATATATATTTAAAGTTAAGCAATTATACATACCACCCATGTTTTCTCAAGTTAGTTTTCCACATACCTAAAGAGGGCATTTCCCGTTTTGGAGGAGTCTGGGACATTGTTTCAAGGCCCAGTCCTTGGAACATGGAGACCAAACCAAAAGATTCCTGTGGAAAGTCAAAGAATTGTCATAACTGTGTTATTAGGTTTTCCCTATACTTACTAATTCTTTATTTTTGATATTAATTATAGCATCTTAAAATTCCTGTATAATTAGGAAATTAAAAATGCACATATAAGCAGCACCAATAGCTGAAGATCCTCTTTTTTAAAGATTTGGGCAAAGAGCCTTCTAAAGAAGACCAATCTTAACAATTATTACCTTAAAGGCAGGAGTGGCTACTAATACCACAGAGCCAAATCCAGAGTAAAAATCTAAACACTCAGAGAAGAACAAAAGGATGTATCTTTAAACCTATTATTTCTATATTTATATGTATATTTATATAAGCTAGAGGACTAAGGCATTTATCCAAATCCATCTAGCATTCATTATGAGGCACTTTTTCTAGACTCACAACTAGAATTTGAAATATATGCCCAGAAGATGCAACTACCTGTTAAAGGAAAACAACAAACAAACAAAACCCAACCAAACAAAAAAAACCAACTCTTATTTCCGTATATAAGATTTCAGTTTTCTAAGCATTTTTAAATCCATTTACTTTTTTTTTTTTAAATTTAAACATATCTTTATTGATTTCAGGGAGAGGAAAAGAGAGGGAGAGAGAGAGAGAGAAACATCAATGATGAGAGAGTCCTCTTGATCTGCTGCCTCCTGCACACCCCCAGCTGGGGATCGAGCCCGCAACCCAGGCATGTGCCCTGACTGGGAATCGAACTGCATGCGATCTCCTGGATCCTAGGTTAACACTCAACCGCTGAGCCACACCTGGCCAGGCGAAACCCATTTTCTCTGATAAGCTACATGCTGCTACTATGCACCCAGACATGGTCTTACCCTTTGTGCTGGCCCACTCTGTGGGCTTGGTTTCTCTGGCTTTCCAAATACATGGCCTCTGCCTAGAGGTCTTGCCCTGCCCAGAGTCGAGTCCAAAGATTTAGGAGCTTGTGGCCAAGAGCCTGGCATCTGTACACACTGAGATGGGTGCCCAGAAGGGCCCCTGAAGGGTGGTCGGACAGGATCCATTGAAAGGCTGGAGTACACGGGTGTCGATCCTGATCTGGTTAATTACCTGTCGGCATTTTATAAAGATTAAAGATTCCCAATTGTTTTCCTTTTCTTTCAAGACAGACTTATAAAGCATTAAAAAAAAAAAACCCTACTTTGGATCAGACCAGTGATACAACCAGCTTCCTATATCATGTTCCCTTCAAAAGCTTCTATTTATCCCAGAGTATTCTAAACACTCCCCATTAGCGATCCCTTAAATTTTCCTATATTTTCTACCTAAACAGCCTCTTGGAGAACTTAGTCTTATGTTAACTACCTGTTTTAGAAGGAAGTACATTTTATGGATGAGCATACGAAAACTTATAGTTAACACAGACACATCGTAATGTTCACTTGATAAATATTTATGGATTTTGCTTTGTTTTTTGGCCTCTCTTTCCTTTACCAGAATCCTAATTTTTTTCCAGTTCATTATCACATTAAACTATTCCATCTCCTCCTTGATCTTAGTGGCTTCTCTGAATCTTATCCAATTCCTTTCTGTAAAACTTTACAAGCTCACCAAAACTGAGGTCTCCACAGTACAGAACTTTTCTGCTTTGAGCCTACATAAATTTCACGTGACATTTAACACCCTCTTCTCCCCCAGGTAACCAGAAATGAGGCCCTTCCTGCCTCCCAAATCTCGGGTCCTCTTCAAAATCACTTTATAACCTATAGATTTCAGGAATCCTTCTTGGACTTCCTTCATTGTCCTGACCCACCCCTGATCCCTGAAGAATGTTTCTTAACTGAAAACTTAAGAAAGCCTCTTCTTAACTTTTGCAAACCTGCCTTACGTATTATAGAGAAATTGGGCCATGGACATAAAGACTGACACCTAATTCTTAAGTCAATACTGTAAGTGGAGGGAGTCCGGGATCTGACAAAAAAAAATTTTAACTGAACTATCCTCTTTTACACTAAAACGGCAGGATATGCCTCCCTTCCTCAAAGACTCTCCCCTTAGCCTGGCCTTCTGCTCACACCTTCCCAGCACCACCCGAAGAATCCAGAACAATCAGTTGCCTACCTGGGATACACTGAGAGGCGCTTTAACACCCACCAAGGAAGGATTTCTGGAAGCTTCCTCTTTCTCCACCCCTCCCTCATCGCCATCCTCACGTTTTTAGATGTGGGCACCTTCTCCAGAAGGCCCACCTTCTTGTGGATTTTCTCCTTTGATTTAGTTAGAAGACAGTTGGCTGACTATAAAGTCCAACAGGTAAGGCTCCCAGGGACAGGCGAGGCCTACCTTCCCCCCCTCCGAGTCGGAGCTCTGGGCTGAGCCAACAGGACTGGGGCCTAACGGGAAAGGAGCCCCCCGAACCCCAACCCCCACCCTGAAGGCAAATCCTACCCTCCTTCCACCTCAGAGAAAAAGCACCATTCCCCAAACCTGGAGTTCCTGCCCACCATTTAGGTCCAAATAACAATCGAGCCCACTTAAACCCCGTGAATCCCTCCCTCCTCGGCCCACCACCTTTCTACCTTTCCGAGGTCCCGCGTCCTCCTATACACAAGAGGGAGCTTCCAGCCTCAAATAACCACTTCCCTCCCCTCGGCCTCCCCCCGAGCCCAAGGCCCCTCGCGCCTGGGGGGGAGGGGGAGGTCCGCGGTGCGCACGGAGGGACACCGCAGGCCACCACTAGCTTGACTGGAGGCCCACTGGCCTGCACCGGAGCGACCTCCGCCTCCCCCGGCCGTCCACACCCGCGTCCTATCCACTCACCACGGCCCGAGCCCTCGCCCGGCTCCGCGGGCCTCAGGAGAAGTCTGCACTCGAGGCGTCCGCCACGCCCAAGGACCCACATGCTCAGACCCGAATTTCCCGTCCTCTCGCGGGGTCTCAGCGCCTGAACCCATTGGCCAAACGATGTGCCGCTCACAAGATCCAGCCACCTCATTGGCTCGCCTGCAGAAAAGGCCGCTCCCTTTCAAGGAGCCTCGCTCCACCCGGAGGTTCCAACCAAAAGGGTGCTAGAAATGGGGGTCCAGAAGTTAGGAGGGAGTCTCGGCATGAATATGTGTCACGTTTTTAAAATCCTGACTCCCTTTCTACAGGCAACTCCTTTAGCTTACACGCTCCTGTTGAAATTGACTTGCCTCACCCTTTCCAGTTAGAGGATATAGGGATGCGGTGGTGAATAGAAAAGAGAAAACTTGAGTTTACATTTAAACACCTCGTCGTGTGATCTCTGCGCCCCCCTTTCCATACATATAAAATAGGAATAAAAGCATCCATTCATAGAGTTGTATGGAAATGTACATACGTTCATGAGATGATGTTCAGGAGTAGATTGCCTGCAATAAACATTGGCTATCGTTAATTTTTGATGCCTAAATCTGTGAGCCAAGAAGTTTCTTCAAATTATATAAAAGTATTGGCGTTTAATTCTGCTATTTCTGAATATTTTCACCCAAAGAAACACTTTTCTCCCCCTCTCCTAACCATTTTGACAAATAATTGCACCCCTCTCCAACCCCAGTGTTTCTGAGGTGGCTGGAGTCAAGATTTGAGAGATCTTGGCTTACCCTGTAGAGACATGCAAATGCTTTGCATGGTATATGGCAGAAGAAGGCTTTTCCAAGCCTCAGATATCTCATACCTTGTTTTAATCCATACATCCCAAGGACTCTCCTCTCCTTCCCAAATCAGAATAGAATTCAAAAACTACTGGAGTGGGAGGATTTCTAAAGCAGAGATCTATTGGCAGAATACCCCTTCACTCTTTCTAGATGTTTCTTGGTTCCAGACAGAGATAAATACCAATCCTCCAGGAGAAGTACACCTTCAACCTGGCCCCCAAACTGCCATATAAAAAGTTTTAATTAATATGAACTAACAAGAAAAATAAAGCACAAAACATGTTAAGGTTCAATAAGAAAAAGACAATCCAATAAAAAAAATAGTCAATGGATAGGAACTGATCTTTCAGCAAAGAAGAGACACAAATGGCTATTAAATATATGAAAATGTGCTCAACATCATTAGACATTAGGGAAATGCAAACGAAAACCACAGTGAGATATCTCTTCACACACACTAGAGTGGCTACAATATGTCAAGTAATAACTGTTATGGTTAAATTCATGCATCACCATGACTGGGCCATGGGATGCCCGGATATTTGAACAGACATTATTCTGAGTATTTCTGGAAGGGTGTTTCTGGATGAGATTAACATTTGAATCTGGAGACTGAGTAAAACAGATTGCCCTCCTTAATGTGGTGGGCCTCGTCCAATCAGTTGAAGGCTTGAATAGAACAAAAAGCCTGATCCTCTCTGGAGTAACAGAATTCCTTTTACCTGACTGCCTTAGAACTGGCACATTAGCTTTTTCCTGCCTTCAGAGTCAAATTAAAGTATTGACTCTTCCTGGATCTTGAGCTTGCCAACCTTCAGACTGCAACACCACCATCAGCTCTCCTGGTTCTCTGGCCTTCAGACTTGAACTGGAACTACGCCATGAGCTCTCTTGAGTCTCCAGAGCGCCAACTCATTCTGCAGAACTTGGGACTAGTCAGCTTCCATAATCACATGGGCCAATTCTTTATATATTCTGTGGGGGTCCAGTATGAGTCACCCCAAAGTGTGGTATGGAGATTGTTTTGTGCTAAAGGTAATTTTAACTGCAGGTTCAAGAGAAACTTCTGCCCCTCCCTTGACTATCTGGAAGAACTTGAATTAGGGGCCTTGTCCATAATGGGAGATTATGAGAGGTAACCTCTTTTGACCTGTCTATAGGGCAGGAAAAACTTCTATTTGCCAAGTATCTGTTGTTTTTATCAACCTGCAATGACCCTTTGAAGCCCTTCAGGTGCATTACCTTATCCCTAGCTCAGGATGTCTTATACACCTCAATCTCCCTTTCTGTCTCTAAATCTCTCCTACATGTGGGGGCCTCTGACTATCTCATGTCTGCAGGGATTCTCATACATATGTATGTATTAAATGTGTTTATTTTCTCTTGTTAATCTGTCTCATGTCTACTTGATTATTAGACCAGACAGACAGAAGAAACTTAAGGGGAAAGTTTATTCCTCCTCTGCAATCTTAATGATTGTGTTTCTCTGGAGAAACCAATACAGATTTTGATACTGTGAAATAGGGTGCTGATGTAACAAATACATAATGTGGAATGGCTTTGGAATGAGTGATGGGGATAGACTGGAAAAATTTTTAGATGCATGCTGGAAAAAGCCTAGATTGCCTTGAAGGGACTATTGGTAGAAATATGGGCATTAACGGTGCTTCTGGTGAGAGCTCAGACTGAAGTGAGGAACATACCATTGGAAACTGGAGGAAAGGTGATCCTTGTTATAAGTGGCAAAGAACCTGACTGAATAGGGTCCTGGTATTGTGTGAAAAGTAGAACTTGGATATTTAGCTGAGGACATGGCCAAGCAAAATGTAGAAGGTGGTGCCCTGGCTTCTGCTTACTGCTTATAGTAAAATGGAAGAGGAGAGAGATAAATTGAGGGAAAGAGTAAGCAAAAAGGAAGCAGAACTTGAAGATTTGGGGAAGTTCTCAGCCTATCCATATTGCAAAAATAAGAAAAGTTATTCTGGAGAGAACAGCACCAAGTGCACGGCTAGACAATCGCTCCATTAGGAGATTATCCGTGGTTAACCTGGAGTTCATCAGCCACCTCAGCAGAAGCTAGGAATGGAGATGGCACGATACCAGCAGAGACACAGCCAGTCTGGATCAAAGGGAACAGATGCTGCGTGAAATAAAGGCAGTCTTTCTAAAGGGAGGATTTTAGATTTCTGGGGTTCTACAGGACAGGACAGTAGGGCCACTCAACATGCTTTATCCTTAAAGGAAACGGGAGAATAACACGAAAGGTGATTCAGATTCTCAAGGCTGCCACTTCTGCCACAGGTCCTGGAGGCAAAGCTGTTTCCTCTTCACAAGTTCACAGCTGGAGTGGAATGTTGCCTCAAGATGACTTATATCTCAACTCTCACCCATACCCGATTTTGATGATATCTAGATGATACTTTGGACTCAGAATTAATGCTGGAATGGGTTAAAACTTTGGGGGCTTTTGGGTTGGGATAAATGTATTTTGCATGTGGAAAGGACATATTTGGGGGGACTAGAGGGAAGAATGTTATGAACTGAATTGTGTCCCCCTTAAAATTCATATGTTGAAGCCTAACCCCCAATGTGACTGTATTTGGAGACAGGGCCTATAGGGAATTAATTAAAGTAACTATAAATTTACCATTTGTCACACCCAGAACTTTTGTCCAGAAGAATCGAGTACAAGAGGAACAAGGGTATTTTTATAAAATGTAATCAGTTGTGCTCCTAGAGTCTCAGTAATTTTTTCATAGCAACTCAGCTCAGGACAGTTCCATTTAAGTTGTCAGGTCCAAATATCTTACTACCTATTTATGTTGTTACAACTTTGTAGTCATTTTAAAAATGATACATACAAATTGAAAGAGAATATTTTTATTCTATGTAAAAAATTTTTTTATTGATTTTGAGAGAGAGAGGAAGGGCAAGAGAAAAATCGATGTGAGAGCAATGTTGATCAGGTGCCTCCTGCACGCCCCCAAGCCAGAAACCCGGGCATGTGCCCTGAACTGGAATCAAACCGGCAACTTTTTGACGAACGGGATGAGGCCCAACTAACTGAACCACACTAGCCAGGGCTTAAAGTGATTTTTCAGGAGGCAGATCCAGTGCTCAACAAACCAGATGCCTGTGGGTAGTGGACAGTGCTGAAGGTCCATCAAATACCTTAAATGGCTTGAGAGCCCATTTTGATCAAAGGTGTATCATCATTAGACTGCAAATACCCAGAAAACCAGAAATATAACAAAGCCTAGTTTAAAGGGGCACAACAGTCTGGCGAGAGTCAGTGCATTGGAATGAGACAACACTGCAAACTGGAAGTGTCAAGGGTGGTGAGCCACCACCAGTAGCCCCAGGAGGGGGTCAAAGTTTCCATGGACTCAACTGCCTCACCCTGTGCAATGAGCCTCCCTCACCGAGAGACTTTTATTAGGAGTGAGAGGCCTGGCATGTAGTCAGGGCTGGTACATCTAAGAGATAGAGAACTTTACTTGGTGCCCAATCTATGGTGGTGGGTGTGTTGTGTGTCTGGTTCAATGGTACGTGTAGGCAGCAGAAGTCTAGGCAGTGCAGGCTCAGTCCGCAGCTTGATTCCAGTTGGTCTCATCAGAGAATGGATCCTCACCATGGGCACCTACATGGCGACTTGAGGCTGTTCCATCAGCAGCCATGGTTCATAGCCCAAAAGGAGGAAGTCTATAGTTTAATCTGCCAGTCTGTAATTTTCCAAATGGTCAACCGAACAACTAGACCATTATCAACAGCCCAAGAGTCAGTAAGAACATAACAAGGTTCACAAGGCCTACTGGCCAGAGTTGTGAGGGTGGCTTTGAGTTCTGCCTCCTGAGTGAAGCAACCACATCTGTTTTCCATTCCACACAGCTGGCACTGATACTGAATAGCCACAGCAGCCCAGTGGACACCATGGGTTGCAGCTTCACCACACCATCAGTGAACCTGGCATTTGGGGGAACTTCTGTGGACTGAGAGTCCCATTGAGAGACTGGCTTTCCTTAGGGTTGTGGAGTGGAGCATAACATTTACCCTAAAGGGATAGCTGCCTTTTTTTCCTCACATGAAGCTGAAAATGCTGGTTGGCCAAGGCCAGGCGCAGACTTACAAATAGCATTTCCATCTGACAAGTGAGGCATGTTGGACACTCCCCACATTGTTAGTTGTTGAG